ACCCCACCCCATGTTTTCATACCCATTTCCAGATAGCAAAAACTGGTGTCTGAGGATTTCCCTCCTTCCCAACCCACAGTTCCATTTTTCTAGTAAAACAAGTGGCTTTGCATAAATTTGTATGAAAATACAGCTATATGATGCTTGGAAATTAAAGTGCACTAATGATAGTGCCCTCAGGTCTTCATTATGGCTGAAGGCCCTGTTGTGGTACAGGCCTGTACAAACCCTTCTACAGAACGTACGTCATCCAGGTCATCGTGATTTTTAAGAGCAGAAAGTGCAGCAGCAATTGTTCATATTTTTTTTTTTAATTTAATGTTATTTTATAAAGCTCACAGAAGAAGTAGAATCTACCTAGCCTAGGAAAGATGATCAAAGTATCAAAGTCTGCTTTCTTATATGTGACCCCTTGTTGTATTTCATTACTTGTTCTTTCAATTTCTAGACATGGAAAGAGAGATATACCCAAATCTTCATGTAACATGCAATTGGGAAAAAAAAAAAGAGCCCTTGAGGGAAACTAGCTGTCATCTGGGCTTGTGTAAGATAACTAAAAGCCATCTGGATGGAAAACATGCTACTGAAAGTACAGCAGGTCCTTTGGCTTGGATTAGTTTTGGTTTTTTTTATAGAGAGAAACTTAAAAAAAAAAGAAGTTATAGTCGTAAATCAGAGACTTTCTGTGTTTGCTAAAATCATTATCTCTGGAATGTGAAAATAGAACAAAAAAAGAAACGCAAGAGAATCTTTACTCTAGAGCAACACACCTGTTAGTTTTCTGAAGAACAGGATGACATCCTGGAGATACAAACAGCAGAGATCAGTAGCTTTCTTCAAAGGCCACCATTACATTTTCATAAAAGCATTTCTTTCTTGGTGTGGTTAGTTGGAACATTTATCTGAACATCCAGGTTGTCTTTGGTCTATCTTCTATATTTTTGGCATTCTTTGGTCTTAGATGAAATAGCCCTGTGGGTGAAATTGCCCTGTAGCTGTAATTTCTTTAATATGCTCCACTTGCTTGGTGCAGGCATACGCTGGGTACTATTTGCATGGTAAACCCAAGCTACTCAATTCCCAGGCTGTCTTGACAGATACAGGATCTCTTCTTAGATACATTTCCACAAACATACCCAGCCTGGCTTCCAGGTGGTTTATCTTCCTCTTCAACCATTACTAGTAGCATTGCTGTTAGTAGTCATGTATTAACTCTCAACTCCAATCCACGTCAATGCAAAATCTCAGAGCAAAATTTAGCCACGGTATAGCCCATAAAACCTTTTATTCTTATGTTTGAGACAGTGTAGAAATCAAGCTGTTGGATGACTTGTGGCTCTACTCCATTAGCTGGTTTTAACCATTTTAATGAGGTTGAATTTGCAAATCTGCTGCAATAGCTTTTTAAGCCAACAGTGTATTTAACAGTATGTTTCCTTTAAATATATGCATCCCTACTGAATAGTAACAATAGGTTTTTTTTAAATCTTGTCTTTGTTTTTTGTGCCTGTGTTCCATTCCACTGAAGAAAGTGAAGAGGAAGGGGGAAATTCTGCCTGCAAACTGTTAGAGCAGTGTCCTGCAGAGATCTGCACAGCAAGGATGTGCACTGCTTCATTATTTTATAGCAACAGGTGTGCTGGCTTAGCACAGAATAACTCTCATGCTTTCTCCCCTTCAATTATACCTCTTCCTGGAGCTGGCAGCTGCAACAGAGATCAGCCTCCTCCCCTGCTGTACTGAGCCTCAGTAATTTGTTATTCCATATGGTTGAGGTCTGCAACCTGACCAGAAGCTCAGCGCCTTACACAGGGGCAAGGGGAGCAGGAAGGGTATGCATCCCCCTTTACATTTTGAACTCCTGGCATCCTTCCACACTTGTGAAGGGCTCGGTCCCTGCTCATGTCTTCACTCCTGAGTGAACAGCATTCAGATTAACTCCTCTGTGACTCCTAGTGAGCTGCAGAGAGATCAGGTCATGGCAGTGAGCGGCTGTCTTGGAGTTGGACTAATTGGAATTGGAGCACTGTAGTCTCTGTCCCACCTGATGTAGCCTTTTGGGGTTTTTCCTCGTTTAAGGTTGCATGTGTACAGGGAGGATGTGAATTAGGGGCAGCACTGGGAAGTAAATTCTGCCATGATATTTTTTGAGACTATTTGTGCTGTGTCACTACCAGTTGTATTCTTTTTTTTCCCCCTTCTGCCTTTTCCGTGTGTATTTTGAAAAAGCTGGCATTTAATCATTTGAGGTTGAAGTGGTTGAACAAGAAGTGTAGACTTGCATGCAGGAGAGCTGGGAAGAGGAGACTTGTTCTTATTTTGAGTCCTTTTAAACTTCACCAGTGGTTCTGCCCAACAGGAGAAAACATGCATATATACCTTGGGAAAATGTGGCACTGCTTTATTTTAATTATAGAAAACATACAGAAAATATCCTGTTCTTCTGCTATTTTAAAATGCTATAAATCGTGTGGCTTCCTGTGATGTCATGTGTGTCATTGTTTAATGTGAGGTAGGGGATGGGAAAGGTAGGTGATGTACTTTCTGCACAAATTAACTTCAGAAAAGTTAATGGTTTGACCTTCATCCGTAGGAAGGGAAGAGATAGGAAAGCTGTGTTTTTCATGCTCAGAAAAGTAAGGAAGAATCATAAAGACAGGAAAGGGAAAATACTTTTTAACACATGATCTCATTGTTACTTTTTTCACTGGTAATTTATTAGCCCAGCAAATGTTGACTATGACAATTAAATAGTGCTTGACCTCACTGCAAAAGGACTGCTAGGTTTAACAGAATAAGCTTAATTCTGAGAGATCCTAATATTCAGAGAGATTGGGTTTGACATTTGCCATGTGTGAATGAGGGGATTTGTGATGTCCACCTAAATGTTGAATAACTTTTTTTTTTTTTAATGACTTTTTCCAGTGACGTGTGAGAAAGCCATGCAGACTGTCCCTTGCCTCTAATGCAACCAAAGGGAGATGCGGCTTCTCTTGGGGTGTTTTGCAATTAAGAACTTCCATAGAATGGCAGGTGGATGTGTTTTGTTTCAGAAAATGCCATAATTAGGAACTTTGTATATTCCTTGTAAAGTGGAGTTGATTAAAACTTCCATGTCTAGACAAATCTACTTAGGAGTGACATATGCCTCAAATACTTGAGATCTGTTGGAATCTCAGTGAAGCTGCTCTAAGAAAGTGAGACATCAGATTAAATCTTTAAAACCTTCTTCTGACTCTTAACAGGTGGCCTTAATTTCAGTGGTGGGCGGCGTTCAGTGTATGTTCAATGAAGATTTCTCTGATCAAACTTTTCATGCATTAATGCCACTAGCGGGCAAAAATCTGATGGCTTAATTTCTCTCTCAGGCATATGCCAAAAAAAAAAAGAGCAAGGAAAACCTGATTTTTTTTTTTTTTTTTTTTTTCTTAATTAGTAAACTTGTGACTTGCTTTAGGAATAGAGAGTGAGTTGTGTGTGGCGTACTTTTGTATCTGTTTTAAACATGGACCTAGACCTCAGGCCTGGTCTATGCATCGAGCAGTATCCTGGTACTCTCGGACTCCAGCACACTCACATGAGTATCTGAATGCTTCTGTGTGAACAAAGTGCTGGAAGAGTAAAGATGCCCCAGTGTCTTGGAAGAACCTGTTTGTCTTGGCAAGATGTTTTTGGTTTTTTGGGTTTGGGTTTTTTTTTTGCCTTTTTTTTTTTCTTCCCAGTTAGTTTGTAATTCATCCTTTTGGTGAAGCAGCTGTTTCTGAAACACCTTTCTTCATCTGAGTGATTGCTATGTCTGTATAGGCTTGGCATATATACATGCTTCTGTTCCTCTTCTGTGTGCCCACCACGTCCTGGGGACGTGGCAGGAATCTTGGGGAGAGGGGATGGTAGCCTGGCTTGCTTTGATTGGGTTTTGTGGGGTTTTTGGCACCCTCCCTTGAAGGCACGACATGCCAGGGGGTTTCTTCAGTTCTGCTCAGCAATGGAGCTGGGAAATGGAGGTTCTGAAGGGGAGCAAATGCAGAGAGGAATAACTTTTATTTCCCTTGCACCACTTCATGCTGGTCTCCCTCTCCCTGCTTTTGCCTCTCCTCTTCCCCCCATCACCCAAGAATCTCAATCTATAACAAGACCAGCTTTTAATCCTTTGAGTAGCTTGGACTTTGCTGTGAAGCATTCAAAGACAGAAGCTGAGGCACTGGAAAAAGAGCTGATTCTTTTATCTTAGTGTCTATCTGGTATCATGTTCATATTCCCAGTTAAAAAGAGACTTTTGTTTCCCTGCTGGTGAGGAGGCCTCGGGAGTGTGGTAAGACTGGTAGTTTCTGATGTGTGTTTCTCTGATCCCGTAGTAGCATATAGTTGGAGCTCAATTGCTGCTCAGTTGGTTTTTTTGAACTACATAATTTTGTTTAAATTACACATTTTGTAAACCGACTTGAAGACTTAATAACTTTTAATAGTAACTTGTAAGAACATCGTCCAGGTTAAAAATAAAATTACAGTTGTTGGGACCTGACTGAGTTCAAGGCCTATTAGTATTAGTATTGTCTTCAGAAAAAAAAATATCTGTCCTTATTAGCAAGGTTTTGAGTTACAGGCCATTACGTGATTAGCAGGATCACAAGTGCAGCAAAATGAACTGCCTGTCAGCATTGTAATGCGTTTACTTCCCAGCATTTCTTTGCGTGAATAAAACTAAAATGCAGAATTGCGGTTTGTTCTTGGCTCTTCTTCCCTGGCCCTCTGTGAAAACAAGCTCCATCTGGCAAACCAGGTAGCTAGTGTGATCGCTATAAATTCAAGCTATGCAGTAACCGGATATAAGGAAAAGAGTTCTTGCTTAGACATGCGCTCTGAGATTTGATTACCTTGTTTTTAAGACAGATGTGAATGTGCCCTAGGGGAGGAAAAATGTGTTTTCTTTCCCGTTATAGTCTAGTCCTTCAGAACTGAGTCTCTAATGCCATGGCTTTTCTCTCTTTCTCCCTTTCCAGTCCTTCCTCCGGTGCTCGTTCCAAGGCACAGCGAGTACAATCCTCAGCACAGCCTCTTGGCCCAATTCCGCAACCTGGGACAAAACGAGCCCCACATGCCACACAACGCTACTTTCCCGGACTCTTTTCAGCAACCCAATAGTCACCCGTTCCCCCACTCGCCCAACAGCAGCTATCCCAACTCGCCTGGAAGCAGCAGTAGCACCTACCCGCATTCTCCAGCCAGCTCAGACCCAGGAAGCCCTTTCCAAATGCCAGGTACAGTCAACTTCAGTTCCCCTTCAGAACAGAGAAGGTGGTTGGACATCACTGGTGTCATGATTTTTTTGCTTAATTTTGCAAATTATCGGCCAACACTTGTCTTTAATAGCGAGCTGAGAGATTAAAGGTAATAAAGTCTATGTAATTGCTTTGTCTAGTAGTAATATTAAGAGTTTTAATATTGTGTCTCTTTCAAACACAGTTTGAAACATTAAAACATTATAGTAAAACTCTTCTGGGGCAGGGGGAGGACTTCAAAATGTCTTGGGGACCAATTCAACAGTTTAGTCCACAAAGCATAGTGTTTGATGCATAAGAAGCATAATGCTACAGATCATCCTTGCTTAGGAAGGAGATCGTCATAAATTCAGCAGAGGGTTTTAGTTCTGCAAAAGAAGGATATTTCTCGAGGGCATCATGCTATTGCTACTTGATAAAATTTCTCCACATAATGATGTAATTTCAAGAAACAAATAAACTGAAAAACAGTTCCTTAAGGCCCTGAACGGAAATCTTCAGGATGTTTTACTTCCTAAAGTCAAAGAAGTAACAACCTTTCTCTGTTGACTGATGTCAGAAAATTCTGTGAAGCTGTCTTTTTTTTTTTTTTTTTTTTTTTTGTCTTTACATGCAGATGGATAAAAATATTGCAGAAGCAGTCTGTGACAGATTTCTTGATCTAAATGCTAGGAGAAGGACTCCATACAAATGCTTACTGATGTTCTGTTTGCGTGTTTTCTTCAGGGGCTGGGAGAGGGCGTGTGTAAACAAAGCAGCAGACGTGTGAAAATCTGTTTTCTATTACATGAAATTAACATCCATAGATTGCTGCTGCCTATAGTTGTTTCTCTTTAAAATTTTTCTCTTGTGAGTGAAGTCTACTGAATTTGCAGAGGCAAGAGGGAAGGAAAGAGTTTGTATCGGCTTTTCTAAAAAATGTAAAAAGTTGCTGCAAAACCAGCTGTCTTTCCTCCACCCCATTTTTTTTTTTTTTTTTTTTTTCTATATTACTGTAGCATTGGTGTGGCTAGGGACTCTTCCAGCAGAGATAAAGGCTTCTCTAACAAGGTCTTCCTGAATGCTGGCTTGTGGAAGTTTGCTTGAACTTTGAGGGTCTGTTCTGTCCGCATGCCTGTAAGGACAAGTCAGCAGCTGCAGTGAAGAAATTGAATTAGAGGAGAGGTCAAGATACTGACGTCCTTGGTGCTTAGCTCTGGACGGTTGTCTGTCTTGCACTAATAGGGAAAAAAGGCTGACTTTTGGAATATACAAAAAAAGGAGCAAAGCAGTTATCTTGAAAACTTTATAGGTACTGGCCAATTTGTTGCCTGTGGCCTTACAGTCTTGTTTCCGTATCTGCGCATCACTGACATCATGTTTGCATGCACAGGAACATTTAAGGCTTAGTAAAATGTGGAACTTAAACTCCAGTGCAGACTGTTAAGCTTTAATGCAGGCCTGTTGTCATCTCTGTTTTTCTCTGCTGCTCTCTTGTCCAACTGAGGGTACCAAGTCAGGGAATTAATAAGGTACCTGCCAGCATTAGATGTAAAGCTCTCAACAGAATATCTCCTAAACAATAAGCAGTTAATAGATTTCATTAACATGTGTTTTCTTAAAGGAAAAAAAAAAAAGGAGGGGGGGGAACCAAACCAACAAAAAACCCTCAAACCCCACCCTACAAAAAGTCAGAACTTACAAAGGAGTGGTATGATTCTCCTGCCTTTTGTTGATGCTAATTTGGATTTCAGGGTTTTGGAGGCCCTTGTAATTATTTACTGTGGTAGTTTGTAACCTGTGCTCTCAGTAATGGAAGGAAATGTGGGATGAGCAGCAGCCGTGTTCACCAGAGATTGTACAATCGTAATCTAATCTCATCTTTTGCAGCAAAAGCTTGCAGGGATCAGGCAAGGATTTCTCTCTTTTGCATGTACCTCTGTGCAATTGATCTGGAGGAGAGTGTCCTCTGGTGTATTGGGAAATGGTGACATTGGCAACTTCCTGCAGCTTCTAAGAAGCCATTTGGGAAGCTGTCCCAGAAGCAAAATAGGCAGCTGAAGGGCAATGGGAGTACCCGGTTGGGACGCTTCAAACACGTCTGAAAGCAGTGTGTTAGTGAGTATGGTCCTGGTGCGTGGGCTAGTTTTATGCTAGTGATTCGATCTAGAATGGGGCAGTACAACCAGTAAGAGACAGTGACAGATAAATTCCAGACCCAGATGGCTACTTGTAGAGAATTTGGGTTCCTAAACACTTTCTACTGTTCCCAATCTAAGGAAGTAGAGCTAATACTTCGCAGTGTATTAAGGTCCTGGATATATCTGGGATGTTTGCATACTTTGCTGATAGTCATGCTGGAAACAGAAACGTTTAAACTGAAAGTTTTCTGCTCCAACTTCTATTCACGTTTAGCAAATTTGATATCTACTCCTGGCCTGGTCCTGAGACCTCTTTATGCCGTAATATCTATTTGTTACTTTCAACCCACAAAAAACGTGGGCTGGAAACATAGCTGAGCTTTCTTTTGTGGCTTGATGAGGGGGAAGTGACTTGTTTTTATTGCAGTTGTGCTTAATATGCACACTAATTCTTTGCTTTTCTGATTCAAGGTCCGTGATTGCTTTCTCAGATTTCTGGTGGGTGGAAGTTTATAGCTGAGTCAGGCCGGAAGCATTTCCAGGCTAAAGCTGTTTATGTGGGTATGTGTATATACATTAAAGAGAGGAAAGGACTCGTGTATCTCTGCCTTTTCTATATTTAGCTGATACTCCCCCTCCTGCTTACCTGCCTCCGGAAGATCAGATGACACATGATACCTCCCAGCCAATGGATACCAACATGATGGCACCCGCAATTCCCCCTGACATACACAGAGGAGGTAAAAACGCTTCCTTCTTGTCTTCTGCTTTGCTTCATAAGAGTAAAGAACTTTCAGAACTTACTTTTAGTAACTGAATTTTAATTTTGGATGTATGTTGATGGAAATTTTTTGCGATAGAAAATAAAAAAAAACCCAGCCATGTAACTTTTTTGTGTTATTGTAAGGGATGAAATAGTGAATCTGGAAATCCAAATGTACAAATGTAAATATTTAGGACAAGAAGCTATTGCATGACTCTTTGAAAATGTAAAATGTATGGGGTTTATTACATTCTTACTCTCAACCAACTTAATGACCAAAGTAATTTTGTGTTTTGCATCTGGAACTTCCACTAACCACCAAGCAGAAAGAATTTCTATGATGCTGCACATCTCTGCATGCGATGCAGAGGAAATTACACGGGTGCAAGGAAAGGAATCTCTTTCTCTCTTGTGACTACATTGATTTATTGGAACAATGCAGATGATGTTATGTAAAGCCTACTGAATTGTGGATGACAGTAGATATGGTCAAGTATAGCTCTCCAGGCAAAGACTTGATCAGAGGGTGGATGCTAGTACTGCCAGTTACGTAAACACCCAGAGACATTTTACATGGGCAACTGGAATATCTGTATTTTTTCCTCTGAGACAGCACATGTCACAAAATTGTCTTCTTTTATTATGTTTTTGTCCTGAATTCTAAACTTCAGTCCTTAAAGAGTATGCTCTGCTTTTAATAATTTACCCTTCTCCTGGTCATAAGGGCATTTGAGGGTTTTCTTCATATTTTGTGTTGTTCTTCTCTCTCTACCCATTTTTGTTCTATCTTTGAGTCATGCAGCGATAGCACTTGGTTCAGAATTCAGAGCTGTCTGCCTGAGGTGTGGCATTGCTACAGACTTTAAAATCTCTGTTAAAAAAGCCCATGTTGCTTTATGTACTGTGACACAGTCGTCTTTTTACACGTTGCTTTTTAAAGCCTTTGCAGCCAGCTGTGACTGCCGAGTCAAGGATTTAGTGCATTCATCACATGGTGAGAAATAGCCCCTTCAGAGAACACATAAGCTTACACAGTTGTGGCCCATGCCAAGACAGAGCAGCAAGCTGGATGCTGTGCCAGAATGATTATCAAGATCACAAGTATATGAACAATTTAACTGTTAGTTGAATTTTTATTTTATTTTTGTTTTTTACTTGTTTCATTGCTAAGCTTAATGTCTGGTTTCAGGAGGTATATTTTCCTTTTTGGAACAACTTGGATAGCTTTTGTGCTAACCTATTTACTCTCTGTGTGGAATGAGCTTTGCATGTGATAAACCCCAACTGTAGCATTTCCACTTTTTGCTGATCCCGTACACTCTGTGTGTATGTATAGTCCTTGCTGGCCCAAAGTAAAATTATCAATGTTTGTGCCTAACTGCAGACCTTTGAATGTTTGTCCCTCTCACAAAATCCATGAGCACTGTAGAATTCCTGTATTACATGAGAGTTGATACAGAGAAAAGGGTTTACATTCTTCTTGCTTTTTAACATTCAACCATCTCAAAAATTGACTATTAGTATTTTTCCCTCTTAGTAGTTTAGTTCAACAGATTTTCATCTCTGTCCCTTCATTAAAAAAACCCAAAACAACAAAACATTACTTCTGTGTGTATTCATGCGTTTATTGGTTGTGTGTGTGTATATATGTATGCTGTAATTGCACTAATTTTAAAAAAATCTGCTGCAGGTTGTAGAAGAAGAGTTTTTACTCTGAACTTACTGCAGCATTTTTGTTGCAAACTTTTTAGAAGCATTTTCTTCATGATGTTAGTCTTAAGAGATTTGATTTAACAAGCTGCATCCTGTCAATGAAGTTGTGTAATTTCCATTGTTGGCCCATGCTGGGAATAGAGAGACTAAACGCACCTGCTCTGCATGACTTAAAGCAAATGTAAGGAAGTTAGTATGAAAGCTGTGTGAGAGAGATATGATTCATTCTGTAAGAATGGCCAGCTGGCAAGATTTCTTCCTGACTTTGAGAACTGGGGCAAAGCTGCAGCTTTGATAATTGCTGGCATCTTCATGGGAATTAAAAGTGCAGTAACCTCTTACTGATAATTAATGACTGATTTTTGGTGTGTTTTTTTTTTTTTTTTTTTTTTACAGTGATGTGAAAGGATAGAAAATGCTAGGGTGTCAGGAAAAATGAGCTCCTTTTCACCAGTGTTTTAAGCAAGTTATTGGTCAGCAGTAGACACTATACTCAGAAGTTTTGCACAGTGATGTAGGATGTGTTATCCTGCTTTTGATTACTTGCCAGCTTTTGTATCCACTATGTACTGATGGTTTGGGGGGGACTTCTTTTTGTTTGTTTTGCAAGTGGCAGAAAACTCATAGCAGTATGATCTGTGAACAGAGGAAAACATGAACACTGGTCTTAGCTGGCTGATTTCAGTAAAGACTTGGGCCTGGGAGAAGGAGACCTCTGGCCAGAGAGATAAGTTTTCCCATAATACCAGTCTGACTTTCTTTTTAGCACTTTGACCTATAGTTGGAGCTTTAATCTGCAAAATTGGTATCTTAGCAGCAAGTGTAACTGTGCTAGTCTTAGCAGTGAAATAGTCTCCTTCATTTAAAAGAATTAATGTAAAGGAATCACATCCCTTCGCTAGCCTCCATTTATTTCGAGGCTGTTTAGTAATTTGTAGCTGTATTTGGCACTTGAAAGAATGTGCAGTGGGTGGAGATATCTGAAGAAGTCTGTGCAATTGTTGGACACCTGCTGGGAAACTCTTTTTGGTAAAGACCTTTGATACTATCTGGAGAAATTGTGCCCCATGCATGGTCACAAGTGTTACCTCAAGACTTTCATGTGTTTTTAGAGCTTGATGGGTAGAAGTCGTGAACCAGGAATTTCCTGTTGGCATTCTGCTTAATTCCCAGCTTCAGTTAGGAGCTGCTGAGGAGGAGCTTCTTGTTACCAGAGTCCAGGAAACCATGTTCTGAAAGGTCCTTGTTATTACTTAACAAGCAATTCTGTTGGTGATAAACAGTTGCAGTTTTTGCATTTGGTAGCACTTGATGAATAAAAGGTTCTCATTAAATAATATCTTCCTGCATTTCATCTGCTCTTCAGCCCAGCATAATGTTAGAATGCTGCGCATTATGCCCTTGTTTAGCCTTTGATCATATTGAAGATGTGTTTCATGCATGTTCTGCAGGCAAATGTCAATCTCTTAGTTTTGAAAGTCTCCCACACTTCCCACAAGAAGCCCAGGAGGACTATTTGTGCATGCCCCGAATGCTGAGAGATTGATCGGCTGACTGTCTGTTTAAGCTACCTTGCTATGCTTCTTGGTACCCATAGTCACAAATGGTCTGTTGTGCAATTGTGCGATGCTGTTTTTCCCTGTCACTGTACAGCTTTGCAGTCAGTACAGAGGTGACCTGTAATTTGAACTGAAGTAGAAGTTCATGTACTGAATTGGAAAGGAAGCTGAGCTTTCTGAGCTTTTTATAATTGCAGCCTTTCTCTGCTGTCTGGGCCTGCACCATAGCATGTTGTAGAACATGCGGCAGGGATATCGGGGCTCTGCTTGGTATGTGCCCAGGAGCACTTTCTGTCAATAGGCAGTGACAGCCTTTGTGAGTCTTGTGCAAGTAAAGTTGAGGTGAAATTATTTTACTGTATGTCTGTGGCTATGAAAAGCTCAAAAATAAGTGAAGATGGAAAGGCCTTCATTTCGCTGTGAGTGCTTATCTGGCTCATCTTTCAGTGATCTCCAGCCAAAATCTGCAGGTTTATGAATCTTTACATCTGGAGCCTGTATTCCAGTGCTGTTAGAATGTAATGTTTCCATTGTTGCTTTACAGATGTTCAGGCAGTTGCTTACGAAGAGCCGAAACATTGGTGCTCCATTGTCTACTATGAGCTGAATAATCGCGTCGGGGAGGCATTCCATGCTTCTTCCACCAGCATCCTGGTGGATGGTTTCACTGATCCTTCAAACAACAAGAACAGATTTTGCCTGGGGCTGCTTTCAAACGTTAACCGCAACTCCACCATTGAGAACACTAGGCGGCATATTGGCAAAGGTGAGGTTTGGATCTTTGCATCTGTTTCTTGGGGTTTTGTTGGGGGGCCGTTTCCCCTAGACATGACAACCTGGGCCACTTGCCGCAAGAGCAAGCTGGTCTTTCCAGGTACATGGCATAAGTGCTTGTGTTGGTAAATATATAATTTTCTGGACAGGTCTTATAAGCAAAGTGTGGTTCTTACCTGGTGTGTAATTACAGGAAGCTTTTACCCTTAATCAATTTTTAATTGTCAAAAGGCTATAATCTTAATTAGAATGAGAGCTTAAGTTGGTTTGTCTAGTGAAATGTCTTGATTTATCTTGATTATTGGTGTGGATGGAAATCCAAGTTATAGTTCTTGGCACCAAATTTTTACCTAGCTTTAGTTCCAACATAAATTAGCTATCCTAACGCATATTTAGAGAGGCAACCAGCTAAAACAATTTTTCCAAATGCATTTTTCACAGGCTAGTGATTCTTTCAGTGGGAATTTTGTGCTTTTCTTCTATGGCTGTGACAGTGTTCTGCAAAATAGAAAAGCTTCTGGTTTACGTCCAGTCCTCTTTTTCTGAGAACTTGCCTGTAATGCAAATGACAGGCAAAACTGACATTGCCCCCTGCAATGGGGCGCGTTCCTGCCAGACCAATTTTTTGGGTGTTTACGTTATTAAACTCTAAATTTTCTGAGACAGTTGAGAGGGTTCAGCATGGCCACACAGTGGGGTGTATGTTGTAAGTGCCAAATAATGAAGTACTTTCCTCCTCCTTAGAGGAGGAAAGAATTGAAACTGAAGAGAACTGTCAGGACTTCAAGTCTGAGCCCCCTATCTGGAGAGCTTTTGTCTGCAGGAGGACTTGTGCAGCTCTCAGCAGTACACCACACCTGTGCTGTGCTGCTCGAGTCCTAGTACTTCACCCTTCTTTTCCTCCCCATCCATCTTACCAAGTCTCAGGATATTTATTTAACACCTCATTCATTTTCCTGTTAAAAATAACCCAGCTGCAAGCAGAGTTCTGCTGAAGCACTTAACTGCCTCTGTGCCGCAGCAGAGTGTGGAAGAGACAAGGATGCTGTTGAATAAGTGAATGTGGACAACTAATGATGACGTAGAGCTGTTAGTCTTTGAGGAAGGAGGAGTAAATCCCAAACTGGAAGACATAGTCATAAATGTTTTCGCAGATCAGGTGAGAGTATTACATAACCACACAGGTATATGCATAGTCAGCAACAAAGTCTTGCATGAGAGAGCACTATTAAGGCTTTCTGACTGGACTTCAGTTTAGTTTTTAAATTCTGTGCATTCACTTCTCTGATTTGTGACATTATGGGAGGTGAAAGATTTAAACAGCAAATAATCCATTTTTAAACACAAAAGGCAAATTTTCTTGTTTTCTCAGAGCCTTTGGAATTGAGTCCTACTGGTAGCAAATCTCCACAAAGATTCCCTGTAATTTGCTCTTCTGGGGCTTGCTGCCCCAGTGGCAGGTGAGGGAGCAGGCAGTAGAAGGGGAAAGGACTATAGAATTGGTGTGTACCCTCATTTGACAGCTACATCTGAAGAATATAAGGGCCATTTTCTTTTTCCAGCTCTCTGGAATTAAAGCAATCTGGAAAAACTCCTGCTACCCAAAACAGCATTCAGGACTTTTCCAGAGAATCCAGCTTGAGGCCGCTTTAGTTATCCACAAGTTATGCAGTACGTTTCTGCTCTGTCCTCTTGCATTCCCAGCTTTTGTTTTATATAAATATAATGAGGAAAAAGTTCAAGTGGTCAAGTAATCCCAATGTACTGCATCAAAACTACTGCAGTGCTTGCTAGTTTATTGTTGTTGGATATACGTGTTAAAATGCAGGGATGACTGATTTCTCTTATAAATACATACATACATACACACCCTCCTTTCAAATTGCATACTCATGAAACAGAAAAGTAAAAATCAAGTTTGAAGACAGACAGATGATGGTCTGATACACAATTAATGTTTATCTCTTTAAGCAGAAACATATCTCTGTGGAGGCAGAGCATGAAAAATAGATACACAGTGTGAATTTGTCTAACCTCCTTGTGTCAACCTTCTCCCCCCAGGTGTTCATCTCTATTACGTTGGTGGGGAAGTGTATGCGGAATGTCTTAGCGACAGCAGTATTTTTGTGCAAAGTCGGAACTGCAACTACCATCATGGGTTCCATCCCACCACGGTCTGCAAAATCCCCAGTGGCTGCAGTTTGAAGATTTTCAATAATCAAGAGTTTGCTCAGCTTTTGGCTCAGTCAGTGAACCATGGCTTTGAGACAGTGTATGAGCTTACTAAGATGTGCACTCTCCGTATGAGTTTTGTAAAGGTATGTGAAAATTTGCTTGAGATTATTTTGTAAGCAAAATAAATCATTTTTTCTTAATGCTCCAGTGCCTCCCTCCATCGACCTGTTACTAGCTTTGAATTTTAAGTGTGGAATAATGTTCATTAAGTGTGAGACAGATCTTAATGCAACCAAGTTGTCGTTGTGGACAAAAATCCGTCAGGCATACTTTGAAAGCTTGAGGTGACTTGCCAGAAGGTGTTTCTTCACAGAAGTCTGTGGTCACTTGTGAAGCATTTCTATCATGTCTGTTAATTGTTTGAATTTAATTGAATTGCTTCTTGTAAATTTTTAGTGTTTCAGTTGAATTCTTGTATTTATTTTGTGTATAGATAGTATGTATGTGTGTATAGAATTATTTATGTGATTATTCTGGAATTACAGGGCTTGTCTTTTTAATTTTGTGGGATATGGCAAGATACAGTACAAGTAAGTTTTGAAAACAATTGAGTCATTAATTACTTGGCCTAAAAGTGGAAGAGCCACCAATTCATTATGTAGCATCAGCTTTTGCCCACTGTTATGGTCTGTGCCATCTTGTGCTCTATTAGAAGCCCATCTGAACTTCATGCTCCTGTTCCTGGGTGGTGTCTTTGGAGAGCTGAGCTGGGACTGCAGTGTAAGTCACTGTAGTGGTTGTGGGAGTGTAGGTAGCATAATCCTCTAAATCTGTCTTGGCCAGCAGCTCCCAAATTAGGAGCTGCAGTATTTACTTAGAATAATATACGTACCTTTCTATTCTGGGAGGGCATGCAGGGTCAAGATTTGTGATGTGGCTGTGAGTGTCAACATAGGTACTGATATAAAAGGGCTGGTCACATACATGAAAGAAGTCAAATGAAGATGGTAATATACTCTTTATTATCAAGAATTGTCAAGAAGTGCTGCGCTCGATAGGAGGGTAGAAACTTCCAGATGTGTTAGGACAGGGGTTCCTGAAATGGAATAGGTTGTCTACAGCTCTGCATCCTTTAGTGTTGTATGCCAGCGTTGCCTGAACAGTTGCACAGGATCTCCTGTGTATTGGATGTTGCACTGCAGTGTTAAGAGCTGCTGCCACCTGTGTTTGGGAGCTGGGTAATCTCTTCATTAGGGGTTAGTGCAGAGCAGAGCAAACTGTACCTGCCGCTGTCTGAGTCTTGTCTCCAGACCTGCCCCAAAAATGCTTCACTTACAAAATGATTTTGACTGTTGTTTAAATATCTGCTTATATCTTTGGTAATTACTGTAACTGAATCAGGTGTGAGCTGAAACAAAACCTATCTTGTCTTTACTTGAGAAATGGCCCACTGGGGAATGACCTCTTTCTCCAAAGAGGAATGTGTCTGACTTACTGCTCAGTTTGTGTCCATCCTGCAGATGATACTTTGATTCTTGTCAAACAGATGCCTCACCTCCACTTCCGTAATGTCAGTTTATGACCTAATTTTTTAATTTGTTGGTCTGTTTGGCAGCATTTCCCCCCAGTTTGTTCTGTTTTTGGTCTTGGCAGAGACTTGATTATCCCCCTGTTCAAAGACCTTATTGGGACATCATGCTGGTGAGGTTTGAGGAAATTTTGCGCTGCCACAGGTTATGTCTTCAAGAATTTAAGGAATTCCATTCCAAGAGATCAAGAGATCTCAAAATGACACTTCCTCCAAACTGAATATTTTTTTTTTTAACTTCAGATTTGTTTGTTGAAAAGTGATAATAATGTATCAAGGGTGTTATGCTATCCTGCTGATAATGACTGTTGAAGCTAGAGTATTTTGGTGAGAGAGATGATGATTGAAGTATGCTTCTCATGTATTTGATGTTATAAAACAAGGTGATTTTTTTTTTTTTTTTCTTTCCCCACTTGTGATTGTTTTTCCAGGGTTGGGGAGCTGAGTATCATCGCCAAGATGTAACGAGCACTCCATGCTGGATAGAGATACATCTTCATGGTCCGCTTCAGTGGCTGGATAAAGTACTTACTCAGATGGGCTCTCCTCATAATCCTATTTCTTCAGTGTCTTAAAAGGTCCCAAACTCCTGCATTTTGGAAACAGTTGAGCCTTGCATGTACTTGAAGGACGTATGAGTCAGACACACACATTTATTCCCTGCTCCCCCTCCCCTGAACTGGCAACAGCTGAATAAGAGCCATGAAAATACTTGACTTCTGTGACCAACTGTTGGATTCAGGAAAAAAAAAAAAACCACCAAACCCTTTGACATTCTGTTGGTATCAAGAATTTTAGTTTACATTGTAACGTACTGTTGCCAAGTTGATTTGCAGGGCTTAGTGCAACCGGGACAACTGAGCCAAAGCCACAGTCTGTCAGACCGAGTTCCCGAAGGATCTTCCTGTAGCTGGCACTCTGAGATTCTCTTTCTTCCTTACGTTCAGCACTCACAGTTTTCCGCCTGTGTCCTCTGGGGCTAAGACCTGATGTTGGTGAAGTCTGCTTCTTGCAGGCTCTCTGCAGTACATTTTAAAACCATTTGTCTAAGTTGATGGTTGCTGTTGTCTTTAAAAGAAAAAAATATCATAAAATTTAATCTCAATAACTGTGTAATAATCTTTGAAACTGTGTCCTGACCATACTGCTGTAAGAATGTTAGGTATGTTTTTTGCTAAATGTATGTACGGTGTATTTGAAAGATTAGAAATTAATTAGATTTAGACCATAAAGAAATTAGGAATATTTGAATGGGGGGAGGTGGGAGGGGGAAGGGAAAATGACAACTGAAATGTAGAATATATTGTAAACTTAGCTTGTTAGTTTAAACTGAGGTCTGAATTTTGCTGTGCATTTCATTTTTATAGTGGCTTCATCTGGTTAATTCTGACTATTTTTGCCTCTTCGTTTTCCCCCAAAACAATTGCGCAGCTGGTTACTTCTTTTACCTGTGAAGAGGACAAAATGATTAATTCCTGCAGTTTGAAGGCTGCAGCTCTGTGTATTTCAAGACAAAATTGTACAGTGCTCTTTAACTATTGAGCAGTTTTATACAGTTTATGTAACAGAAGTAGGCTTTTAATTTTGTAAGAGAATTTTGTTTTGCCAAACCTAGTAACTGTTAATTGTTTGGAGGACTTAAAAATCCCTGCGTGGGTCTATTTCAAACTTTTTAAAAAAATATATATTTTTAATTTTTATTTTTTTTACTGCTTGGTTTATTTTCTTATCTTCCATCTTTTATATTCACGTAAGCTGTAGTACTTCAAGTACCTTTATTCCAAAATTAGTGGGTCCTCTTTACTGGAAGTTTTAAATAAAACCTGTTGTTATTGCTTACATTTGATTAAAACCTTGTCCTGTCGACTTCTTAGTATCTTTACGTGGTTTGTTAAGAGTCTACGGTCTTGGAGGAGGAACAGCTAGAAATGAAGACACACGGAGCTTAGACATTTATGATTAGCACAGGTTAGTAACCCTGCTAAACTCAGTATGTGAGATAAGTGAGTACTCTAGAGAAAAAGATTTCTTTACCAGGCAAGATTAGTATGGCTGTATTAAAACTGCAGTATCCTAGCCACTTAGTTAAATTTCTGTGAGTTTTCAACATAAAATATCCGTACGAGAAGAGATTTTGCGGAGGCTAGACCATGAGCAGGCTCTAGTGGCTCCTTGCCATGGTTGTGATGAAGAGCCTTTATGCTCCTTTCCCAACACCTCTGCCTTTGCTCTGGGGAGAGGTGAGGGAAGGACTGTCCTTTTGCAGCTGTGAAGTGTCTGTCAGGTGCTGGGATGATGGAGTTCAAGAGGTGGAGGGTTGACTGAAGATCCAGTGCCTGTGCCCAGCTATAATGGACCATGCAGTCCTAACAGGAGCGTGAGGGAAAGCTGAGCAAGAGATGAATGTGTACATTCAGCCAGTTGTATGCGTGTGTAAGTCACTGTAATGAGTAATAACTCTTTTTGGAGAATGAGTCAATCCCATATTTTTCTTTTTTTTAAAAAAAAAGTTAATTCCATTGATTGGTTCAGTATATGTTTTTAAAACTAACACTGCTTCCCCTGCTAAGGGGTAAAAAAAATCCATAATGTTCAAGTTCCCTATTTAGGAGAACTTGGTTAGTAACTTTTTTGTATTTGTAAGTTCCAAGAACAGATTTTTTTTTTTTTTTAATTCAGTTTAACATACATTTTTCATAAAGAAGCAGTCCTAGCACAAATGTTAAGTCTTGAAAATAAAATTTAAGGATGACCAAAAAGAGAAAGAATGCTGTTTGCTGTTCTGTCACTGTCTGTTTTTTCCATCTTCAGCCGCTGCTACGTTAACTCCCAGCTGTTCCCAACCAGTTTCCTTCATTTTGTTGGAATGCAGCACTGATGTAGTAACCCTTTTTTTTTTTTTTTATCAGTACTGTAACCATCTGTCATGCAAGCCTTAAGAGTGTTCCTGTTTGGATGTTTTCATATTTGGATGATCCTGTGCAAGTTTTGGTAAACTTTGAAATAGCTTTGGAGTAAGAAAAGTCAGTTTCACATGGTGACTGCTTTTGAGTGTCTTGTATGTTTTGGGCTGTAATGCCTCTCTGTTTTCCTTAAACAGGGATTAAAATCAGAAAACACTAGCTCTGCAGCGTCTCAGAAACTTTCAGTGGTAATACTTCTGTGGGGTCCCAGTTTTTCTAAGTTCCTTCCGTTGTGAATTTTTTCTGTGCTGTTAATACTGTTGAAGTGCAGCATACGTAACATTTTCTCTATCTGTTATCCAGCTTCTTGTTTGTGGTGAGGAGACATTAGGTGTAAGGAAAAAGTGTACCTTCATGTGATGGCACAGAGTATCCTAGCTGCATTTTATTAAATAAGCTGAGTGGATTGGAGTAACACCTGAGACTAATAGCCAGAAAAATAGGAGGTAGGACAGAAGTTAGGTTGGAGGACTTAATTGCCAGCCTGAGGCTCTTGTGAAGATTTTTGGAGTATCTTAGAGATGTTTTCTTACTGATTTGCTCTGCTTCACATAGCTGGAGTCAGAAAGCTGGAAAAGGCACAGGACAAGACATAAGGAAAAGGGTTCCTTGCTAACCTCTGAGAAAACAAGAGAATGATGAGAGCTAGAAACTCAGAGAGAGCCCTGCAGTGTCAACTCTGTAACCAGGTGAGTCCCTGCTGCCTGTTTAATTTTATTTCCCCATAGTTTCCTGGGTCTAGTCTTCTGAACAATAGAGGTAAACACAGAAGACACTACTTCAAGGTGAAAAGCCAAGACAGTCCATGTTAGGAGAAACTGAAAAAAAAGTTATGGATAACTTTTAGAAAAAGAATTGAGGAAGAGCAGTGAACAGTAGACATGGACACAAATAATTCTGTCGAGCTGAATGTGTTTTGAAATCTGTGCTTTGGCTTCTAAGTGCTGCAAAGAAAATAATTCTCCCCAGGCGGAGATGACTTTTTAACCATTTAAAAGTCTCTGGTGAACTTTTAAAAGACTTGATGAAAGCTAAGAGAGGTAGTCATGGTTACTTGTGTCACTTTAGGAAGGTATGGAGAGAAATAAATCATGTTTTAATATATCCTGTATTGGAATCATGGACCTGATCGTCTAATGCTCACTAACCTGGTATTGCTATCTAGTTTGATAAAGCCATTCCCTTACTAAGTCACTTCTCTTGCTACTGTAGCTGTGTTTTCACAACTGCAGTAGTCTTTTCTAGCCTCAAAGAATGCAGTTCTGTGACTGTTGTCATTTGAAGACAATAAATCAGTGCAGAGATATCTGAAATTTATATGGTGCTTTCTCGGTGTGCCTGTCTCCTTGACTCTTCCTTTGTCTTGCCACACTTTAAACCTTTGATTGACATTTTGGAAGTCAGCTGTGTTTTGATGGTCTCTTTATTAATTGCTGCTGGTTCGTTCAGCACACTGTAGCCTCTTATTCTGCTCTTGAGATTCATGATTCGTAACTGTGAACTGGCAGTCACCTTTTTCTGGATGCGTGCCTAAATATACAACATAACTCTACCATCACCAGTCACGGTAGAGGAATATATTTTTTTACATGCATCATCTCACAGTTCATTTTCTTCAAATACATTTGTAATTCTGTGTGGCAGAGAAGGGAAAATGGCTCTTATTTTACTCTCTTCCCTTCTGTCCTTGACTTGAACAGCTCCATGAACAGAGACATCCTTGTCATGTTACCCTTTTAGGGGATGTTCTCTTTTCTCTGTTCCCTAAGCCCCCCTCTCTGACTCCTGTGTTCTTGATGACTTTCCTTATTTTTTTGAAGTCTTTACAAATAGCTTTCTGTCTGAATCTTTTCTCATACCTGCTGGACACTGTATGTTTCAGTCAGACAAAAAACCCTCTACAGTATGCTTGCCAAAGGTGGGTAAAGAATTAGGGGTTGCTGTAGGCACAGGGAGCCACCCCAGGTACATATGTTTGAAAAGCTCTGCTTTTTCAACCCCTGCTCTCTCAAGTGCTTTTTGGAAGAGGAAGGTGAAGTGAGACAGGTTCATGCTATTGGATTTCACTTTTGCTTAGGATTATTGTCTCAAAGGCTTTCACAGTTACTAAGATTCCCTTCCCTCCTCTCTATGATAGTATCTGAAATGACCGAAGTTGTCAGCCAGGGTCCTCAAGCATTGTCTTTAGCAGTGGTGTTCTCTGCTGCCTTCATCTTCACAAGCAAGCCTGGCACTTGTTCTCATCATCTCTCTTGCCCAGCAGGCTCCAGAATAAATAACTTGCATGGTTTGCAGAACAAAGGTCCTATACTCTCTGCTCGCCTTGGTGACTTGCTCAGAGGGGAAATCTCTTCAGGACAAATGGAGCTGTGTAGCTGGGACCTGGCTCTCAGTCACAGGGGCTGCTGATAAGTGCAGGCTGGCTGAAGTGGTTCTTGTTCCCAGGGACTGCCATCCTTGTGAAGTGCTGTGCCGGTTCCCCTGCCACTGCAGGTCACACGTCTGTGTGGCGTGGCAAACTGCCACCGCTTTGTCTGTGTACGTTCAAGTGCTGTGAACTGCTGAGGCAGAGGGCTCCAGTTTCCCACTTTCCTTCAGTTGAGGTGGGTGACGAGGCAGCTCCTACTTCATTCATCCCAGCTGTGGGAGATGATGATCTCTTCAGCTGCAACAGCTACATCTGATAGGGTATATGGTGAGTTAGTTGTCATGAAGCAGTTGCAATGGAGACAAGCCTGGGCAAGCACAAAAGTAACCCCAGTAGGATTTAGAATGTGAGCATCCCCTGGGCTTGACA